CCTCCTGCCGGCAGGACATGCCCGAAAAACCTCCCCAGGGAGGCGTCCAGGAGTCATCCTGACCAGAAGCCCAAACCACCTCAACTGGCTCCTTTCGATCCGGAGGAGCAGCGGTTCTACTCCGAGTCCCTCCCGAATGTCCGAGCTCCTCACCCTATCTCTAAGGCTGAGCCCGGCCACCCTACGGAGGAAAGTCATTTTGGCCGCTTGTATCCGCGATCTCGTTCTTTCGGTCGTTACCCAAAGCTCATGACCATAGGTGAGGATTGGGACGTAGATCGACCGGTAAATCGAGGGCCTGGCTTTCTGGCTCAGCTCCCTCTTCACCACGACAGATCGGCTCAGCGTCCGCATCACTGCAGATGCTGAACCAATCCGCCTGTTTATCTCCCGATCCCTTCTACCCTCACTTGTGAACAAGACCCCGAGATACTTAAACTCCTCCACTTTAGGTAGGACCTCTCCCCCGACCCGGAGTTGGCAAGCCACCCTTTTCCGGTCGAGAACCATGGTCTCAGATTTGGAGGTGCTGATCCTCATCCCAGCCGCTTCACACTCGGCCGCGAACCTACCCAGCAAGAGCTGAAGGTCAGAGCTGGATGAAGCTAGGAGGACCACATCATCCGCAAAAAGCAGAGACGAGATTCTCCTGCCACCAAACTCAACACACTCCACAGCACGGTTGCGCCTAGAAATTCTGTCCATAAAGAGTCTTAAGTTCTTGCCTGTCACAAATTGTGTGACGTTACTGTGTTGTTTTCATACAAGCAACAAATACTGATGATGTAGAGGGACTTATTGAAATAAAAACTAATCAAGTTTTATATTTAATTTGAAAACCTCCATCTCAGGATGTATAAAAAAAGTCGTGTTTGTTGTTTTCGATTTAATCGATTTATTTCTCGATTCCGATCCTTTCAAAAACGCGTGATCGGGCCCAATTTCCGATCATGTGATCGGATCAGAGCATCCCTAGTTTATTTTTAATTTTTTTTACCTTTGTCAGAATATATTTCACTTGTCCACTTTTGCTTATAGGTAATAATATTTTCCCATAATGCTTCAGTACATTTCTTCAGTTAGCTTAACTTCTGATGTTTGAATCGTTTTTAGTTAGTTTGTGAGACATTTAATAAAAAATGCCAACTTTTTTATTATTTTCATTAAAACCTCAAGTTATAGCAGCAATGTATTTGTGTTATCTGTCACTAAGTTAGCAGCAGAAAGTTTATCCAATACTTTTAGTCATGATTGCATTCTAGCATTTCACCTAGCTGTAGAAATAGAAATGTTGGATAAAAAATAAATAAATAAATAAACTGGAGAAGCTTTTCCAGGAATCTTTTAGCTTGATTTGCAAAGCCTTTTGTTAACTTTCTTATTGGTAAAAATGTCCACAGAAAGCTGTGAACTTAAGGTTTTAGGGAATTTAATCAAAGAGTTCTCATGCTTATTCCTCATAAATAATACAAAACTACATATTTTGTTAGAAAAATTGGCTTTAGGAAGAATCAGAAGAGTCGTAACTCGTGTTTCTACCTTGCTTATGGTTCTTGTTTTCTTTAGTTACTGTAAGAGTCCCTCAACAAGTCAAGATATATTATAAGGTGGCTTTACCAGTTTATCTTTATAATTACTAGGTGTGAGTACTCAAGTTCGTTATAACTTTATGATCACTGACAGATAAAGTGAGTAACACAGCTCATCTTGTCACAACACCATGCACTGCTGGGAAAAACCTGCATCCTGGTATTTACGTCATGTTTCTTTGAAATTTGCCACCAACTTGGACGATTTTGAATAAAACCTAAACATAAAAATGGCAGTATTCAGTATATAAATTACAACAATGTATTCAAATGTTTGTCCAGTAAACATAAGATGTCCTTTTTGATGAGTTTAAAACAAAAATGTAACTAATATTAAGCTTTTTGTGGAAATTACTAACAAATAATGAGCACATTTTGTATCAGAAAAAAATTGTAAGTAAAATATAATTTTGTAGTGTTTGATTACAAATAAATTTTAAAAGTAAGTAAAATTAACTCAAGGATTTATTAAGTGAATGTTACCAAGAATGTCAGTATGGTTACCTAGGTTTTTTCATGTAAATTTGGCTCTTCAAATTTTTTCAGTGAATTACTTCCTTTGCTTAGACTGCAGTGGGATTCACAAAAGCCGAATAATTTAATAGACTGAACAAGGTGTTCCTCTGGCCTTCAGAGGTGGTACTCTACTATCTTTAGGGCTGAGAGAGTCTGCTGCTTATGTCCAAGTTCCAGTCACTTCATTACAGATCCAAATGGTTTATGCCCATGAGATAACTTATGGTGGCTACTCAGTATGAGGTGGATGGTCATAACTTAATGGCAGATTAGTGTATGTGCTAAAACAACAAAATTATCTGTTAGACATAGTTTGTGGTTGCCCCATGTTCATTACTTGTTAGACCAATACATTTGTTTTCACTAAAAGGTCAAAAGGAGATTGTTGGTAGATTGTTTTTGACCGAGAAAAACAAATTTTATGTTTTCTGTGCCAACACACAACTTAATATTTCTACATTAACAATTTAAACAGAACTTTATTCTTTTCTGTGCTGCATTTTCTTTTTCCTCATACCTCACTTGGATCATCTTCTTCCTCTCTGCTAGAATAAAGCTAAAGGGCACATGGAATAGGAATTTACAGATACCTGTTTTGTAGAAGCTTTCAAGCCTGTCACCATTTATCACAGCTGCATTTTTAGTGTCCTCTTGAATCCGTCTTAGCAGGGACAGGCCAGGACCTTGATGAGTAAAGCAGCCAGACACCGAGGGCGGGAGGAAGTGTGATGGTCATTCAGGCCCCTAGTTACTCCCCAGCTCAGCATGCGGTTTATTCCAGTCAACAGTTTGGGGAGAGTTTGGTTAAATATGTAGTTACAGATGTATTAATCTGACCAGCGGCAGTAGAATGGCATCAGAGGTTACAGAACACTACAAGAGATGCTATCAGGGTAGAAAAATCATGGTGAGGGGGTCGATGTTGATGGAAGTGCTATAGCTGAATAGCATTTATGGTAATTAGATAAGCAGGTAGGTGGAGATGGGACACAGGTCACTGGGATGATGAGGGTTCTGTCAGTGTGCATCTTTTAAAAGGGGTGTTTGTGTGTGTGTGTGTGTGTGTGTGTGTGTGTGTCTGCAGAGGAAGTGCAATGTGATCCTTGTAGGTTTCAGGGGCCCACACATAAGGTCTGAGAAAGATCTGGCTGTGAAATTCAAGCTGTCTTGTTGGAGAGTAAAAAGGGAAGGAGGGTGCTGGGTATTGGTGGGCCATATCATACGTTTCACGATAGTAACGGTGTTTTTTTCTTGCCCAGTTAAAAAAAAAATTAGTTGACATCAGCACGTCTTTGCACTCAAATGGGTCAAGCAGAATTATTAAAGTTATGAAGGCGCACATGACTGGAATCTCAGAGTGTTTGCTCATATGAGTATAGAAAGATTCATGGTAGCTGTGTTTTTTTTTGGCAGCTGCAGACCCCTATACCTGCCACCTGGTCATGAGGACAGTCTCAGTCAGTCCGTCTGTCCACACAAACAGAAAAGAGAGACGTACAGCCACAGACATGTATATGTAGACGCCCGATGGACTGACGCTGCCAATTGGAGCTGCCGTAGTGGCTGGCTGCCATCTTGGATAGGTCTCAGCTCATCCCCAATGCATTTATTTCTACTGAGGAAGGTGTTTACCCAACTAAATAAACACTTTTAATTATGCTTATCAAAAAATCAGACACATGGCATTGTATGATAATTAAAATATAAATATTAGTACATAAAATAAATACAAAATTTAATTCCCAATGGGTAGACTAGACAAATCAATATTAATCCCACGTGATCTGTTTTCAATATTGCAGCAGTTGTTGCAACCGTAGGCTGTCAAGTCCACCCGTCTGTATTTTTTTTACTTTAAAACTGTGCCCAAATGCTTTTTTAATTCTTAAACATCGAATAAAAAACACAGCAACACCAAATTCTGCACATAAACAGTCATGAAATGCGTTTTTATTAAAAAGGTTAATCGACGATAAAATCTATTAAAGATCTGGCGAGAGCACGCAATGTTCTGCAGAACCACAGCACTTTTTCACATATTGGTGAAAGTAAAAGTTACATTTTGAATTCTGGTTTTTTCAGTTATTCTCATATGCTATAAAACCTCACACAAGGTTAAACAATATGGTTGCAATGGAAATGTTGAATTCAGAAATAGAATAACTGGAATTAAAACAAAAAGGAATTGAAAATGGTGCCGGGATCATTTTCAAATGTGCAACTCACCTTTTTTGTCTTGATTTTTACATATCTTTTGGATGTGGGATCTAGGGGTCTTTTCTTTGAGACAGGTTAGCAAATTCCTAATCCAGATTACAGACTAAGATGTGAGTTTGCGCTCAGCTTCACTTATTGACCATATTTTCTCTCTTGTATTGTTTACAGTTGAATACACTGCAAAAATAAATGTATTTCATTTAATTAAAAAAAACACTAATTCTCACATTAGGCTTGGTAGGGAAGCAAATTGGGTTCTGTGTGCATATTTTTCAAGCTGCTACACGTCTTATTTTAACTTGTTGATTTGAAAAAGGAAGATCCCTTGGGCTAAATGGAACTGATTTTCTTCATGGTATTCCTTTCCTGGAGTGTAGAGCCATGCATAAAACAGACATTTACTGATAAAATAGGTTCAAATGTTTTTCTAAACTTTATAAAAAAGTTTATAATTAAAAAAAAAGTCTTTTTAAATGTCATTTAAATAATATTTACAATGAACTATTTAATAAAATTAGGCTTCAGATGCCTGTTTTCATCATTTAAAAAGATTAAAGTGGTGAAAGAAATGTGATTTAAATTATACAAATTATTTAACAAATGAAAAAAATTACTACAAATTATGTGATAATGACCTCAGATGTTTTAACAGTGTTTATTTATTCATTGTTCCCACAGTGACCTGAGTATGAACAACATCACTGAGCTACCAGCGTCTGTGTTCAAGAACTTTCCTTATCTGGAAGAACTGTGAGTACATGCCCCCTTTCTCATGTTAAGGATGTATTTACTTTGTGCATGAGTTGACACGATGGCCGCTCTTTATGCAGTGCACCTGGGTGGTTGAGTTAGTGCAGTAAAACACACGGTATAGCTGTTCAACCAGCCCTCCTTCTCAGGTGTGGAAAATGAACACGAGGTAACAAATCACTCAGCATTTTTCAGTTGAGCAACAGCGGCTATAAAAGACACCACACAGCTAATTAAAAAGGAGGGAATGCATTGAAGCAACAATCGGATGACATACGATGTGGATTTTAGCTTTTAAGGGATTATGAGGGTAGAAAACACAAATCTGTGCGCCTGGTCTTCATTGAATGGGGTTTCATCTAATCTCAGTGGATGTTATTTCTTTAAATGCCCCATCTGGCTTGGTTCTGCTGTGAGTCAAAGATAAAGATCAGTCTACCTGATATCAGGTAACATGCAGCTCGTGAGTGCAAAATGAGTTAAAATCTCAGAGCGGTGCCTGCTCCGCTCGGCATTCATAAGCTTGTTTTTTCAGCCCTCGTTGCATCTGTCAGCCGGCCGAGTCTTCACCGTCTCCTTTTCTTTACACCACTTCAATCTGCTTTGTTGAAAGGCAATTTAGTTTTCATCGCATTGTGCGGAGGAATGCAAGGCAGGAAGGAAGAAAGCAAAACAATAGTTTCCATGGCAACAAGGTAAAAAAAACTCAACCAGTCTCATCATGACTTCTGTCTTTTCTTGTCCTGTGAAACTGATGGGCTGTTGTTGAGAAGTGTGTTTTTCTGCACAAAGGTATTTTGATTGACATAAACCCTTAGCTCATTTGCATGTTTGTTTAACCTTTTTGTGTGGAGACGAATCCGAAGGCTTGTTGCGTTGAACCTCGTTGGAAGACTCTTTCGCTTTAGGGCTGCAGCAGTGTCAACGAACCAAAGCATGGGCCCCCAGGGTGAAAACAAGGAGAGCTGACGGAGAAATAGATCAGGAATATTAAAAAAAGAGAGAGAGGCCATCATACGATGAAGAGACAAGGAAAGAGTATTCTTCATTCTTAGTCACGCAACCTCCTCCAATGTTTTCTTTTTTTTTCTAAAGGCCCAAAAGCTCAACACATGTGATGACAGAGATATTATCTGTTTCATTTTGTATCTTGTTTATATTCTTGACAGTAACCTGCAGTTGAGACACTCAGTTCAGGATATAGAATGGCAGTTCGTCTGCATCAATTTTTGAAGCGTTTAGTTAAAATTGAAGAGGAAATAACATTGGTTTAAATATTTAAACGTCTTCTGAGCTTTGAATTTTCTGTGTTGCATGACGAATGCTCCTCATGTAAAATATTGTTTTTTTATCTATATTAGAGGCTGATGTTCTAGGAAATATTATAAAAAAAAACAGCTGGTTGTCATGAGAAGCATTTGATGCACAAACTGTTTCTGCCTTTTACCTAAACACAAGCTACATTTTCAAGCAATTAAATTGATGATAAATGACCCGCACTTGAGTCGGAGGACTCCAAAGTGCTTTACACTACAGTGCATCATTCATCCATTCACATGTTGATGGTGATTAGCTGCGACGTGGCTACAGCTGCCCTGGGGCGCACTGACAGAGGCAAGGCCTGCTGAACACTGGCGCCACGGGTCCCTCTGACTAGGGCTGAACAATCTATATCGTTTTCTGGGTTTCCCCCAGAAAATGAGTTAAGCTTGGCGGATTCAGCCATCAGAGAGTGTGTGTGTGTGTGTGTCTGGTGGGGTTCGCACGCGACGTCCCACAGCGCTCCTCCGGGGGGGGGGGGGGGGGGGGGGGGGGGGGTGCACACATTCCGCTGCTGATGGAGGGCTCTAGTTTCGTTGCGCCGTTCGTGTCAGCATACACGGTAGGGTCAGGGAGGGGGCGGGGCATGGCGCTTAGCCTGGCGGGTGGCTACGCAAAGTGTGGTGGGCCGTCAGGCTTATAAAACGCTGGGGGAAACCCTGCGTTCTTGGACTGAAATTGCAATTTTAAATAACGCAATCAGGTGATCGTCAAAGCTGCAATTTTTTAATAGTGCTCATGACTGATCCAGGATCTGCTAGTCAAATATTTTTAGACATCCTGGGTTTTCCAGTGTTACCGCAGCAGCAGCCAGTGTGGGGACGGGATGTATCGAGGCCTAACCTAATTGTTCGGCTGACAGAGTTGCTAATTTTAGTTACTAGTTTTCCCGTTTTATTTTTCAGTACATAGCACTGCTAGAGCCGATAATAATGCCTGTTGCCGTCTCTCAACACCATGGGTGAGTGAGGGGAAGAGAGAGAGATGTCTCCAGCAGCAGAATGGAGTTCTGCATAACAACGCTGATTTTACTTCAACGTCAGCTCGAGTGCGCACTTAAGTGAACTTGAAAGCGCAAACAGTTAGAATGTTTCTGATGGTACACAGTAATTCAAACAAGCATGTAAAAGGCGTCAGAGTTAGAGTGTTTTTTTAGTGAGTTCAGATGGCACACAAAAATGTCCAGGCAGCATGCCTTGGTAAATAATGCAGGAAAACTCTGTATGAATTTGTTATTTACATTTGAAAGCTATTTTTATCTTCGGTTTTCCGTCTTACTTTGAGTAGAACAAGAACATGTTTTCTATAAAACACCTCTCTAGATAAAAAAAAAGAATTAGCTTCGCCAGCGCATAAAAAATAATGGGAAAAAATTATTAGCTTTACATCTTTTTATTGTATGACTTATATTATATAATATATATATTTTTAGGGATGCACCAATATTAAAAATGTTGGCCGAAGCCGAAAACTGAAAACGAGGAAACCCAGGCCGAAAACCGAAACGCAGAAAAGAAGGATTACCTTTGACTTTGCAGAATCAGTAAAAAGCTTTCTTGCCTTTTCAAATAACCCCACCACAGACAAAGGGGGCACGCTCGGTGTTGGTTTCATTTTCCTTGTTGCATGCCTCTCATATTCACTATGGTGATCCAGGTAGGGCTGCAACAACGAATCGATAAATTCGATGAAAATCGATTACTAAAAGCGTTGGCAACGAATTGCGTCATCGATTCGTTGTGTCGCACAACTCTTCCAAAAGCGCCCCCCCTTCCCGCCCGCCGTTGCGCGCAGACCAGAGCAAGTCAGATCAGCGCGAGGGAGAGCCGCAGATCAGCGCGAGGGAGAGCCGCAGATCAGCGCGAGGGAGAGCCGCAGATCAGCGCGAGGGAGAGCCGCAGATCAGCGCGAGGGAGAGCCGCAGATCAGCGCGAGGGAGAGCCGCAGATCAGCGCGAGGGAGAGCCGCAGATCAGCGCGAGGGAGAGCCGCAGATCAGCGCGAGGGAGAGCCGCAGATCAGCGCGAGGGAGAGCCGCAGATCAGCGTGAGGGAGAGCCGGTACAGGCAGATCAGCGCGAGGGAGAGCCGGCAGACTTGAGCTGCTGCGAACCGGTTCCGCATTGTTGCACAGCGATCCAGGCAGCTGCTTCCAGCGCACGGTCCATTCTCAAAGTGGCGCAACCAAAAAACTATAATTAGCACACAATCGTTCATGTCCGCACATGTTCTCTATTTTCTGTCTTATTTGTGCCTGAAGCGCGCTACTGCGGAGCTCATCACCTGTGCTGCGGTGATTTCACCTGACGCAGCATCGAAAACGCGCTCTGCGCTTTTCGGTCAGGAGATCCCTTTGACCTGCTCAAAAGTAACTGATGAGGTGAAAAAGTAAGAATCCAGGCAACAGATTTTCTGGAGAATTAAGAGGAGATGCAGGAAGATGAGAGACAGACAGGACAGGAAAATAGTTCAATAAAAACAAGAAAACAAAACAAAGTGTTGAAAAGTAAAATGTAGGTAGATTTATCTCCACTACACGTTTTTACCAGTAAAAAACAATAAGTTATACACATGTCATATTTATACATCTGATACAATTCAGATCACCTTCAAAACTCAGTCACACACCCAGGGCCGTTTCAAGACATTTTGGGGGCCAAGGCAAAATGCCCCCCCCCCCCCCCCCCCCCCCCCCCCAATAACTGGGCTCCCCAGAAGCCTCTGTGTAATTCATGCCCTCTCCAGTAGTGTTAGTTATATGGTGTTTATAAAAGCCCCTCAGACATTACTGACATGCTCTAATATTATCAGATGAAAAACTAAATTATCAGACATGCTGTCTCATCTGCTTATTTTATAAACTTGCAAAAAGTAACAAAACCATTTGAAAGCCACTATTTGTGGATTCTCTGAAAGTTTCCATGGAGTGTGTGACAACTTATTTTTTCATTGATCCTATCGTCTAATCTCACAGTTGAAACAAGCATCCTTAATAATCTGTGCACAGGAAGCTTACCGATGCTGTAGTAAAACAAAAGGTATAGTAATTTATTATTAATAAAACCTTGTTGCAACACTAAAGCAGAAAAATTAGATTTTGCATTAAATATGCAAAATATTTACATATGAATTGTTTTAGAGCCCTTTAATTGGCAGAATCTGATATTAATTTAGTTCTTACAAAAAATGGGTCCCAACATGGTTTGTGTGGCGTTGCCATAGTGTGACGTCATAGGCACAGATCACTGTCCTCTTGTTTGGAAATGGAAATATGGTCACCCTACATTAAACAAACTGTCCACCCGGGCTTTTGCACTGCACAGAGACGCTTCGCTGCCTACGACTGAACGTCAGTTGAGAGTCAGTCTCATGCAGACTAACCAATGAAGAGAGGGCCTCAAGTTAAGACCCTCTCCTCATTGGTCAGTCCACACGAGGTGGGTCAAAGGTTACTCTGGGCGGGTTACGTGTTGTCAGGCATTCAAGTATTGAGTATATTTACTGCATATTACAGTAAAATATTCTGTATGTGACCACATTATGGTGATCCTTGGGTCGTGATGATGGAGCCCTTGAATATTGTTGCCCAGGGTACAACAAAGTGTTAATCTGGCCCTGGTTCCGCCGTCACATTCCCGCAGAAACTGGTTGATCACACCGGGGCCAGACTACTAGCATGTGGTTTTACAACCACAATGTCCTCAGAAGCAAAAACGCTTTTAAAAGGGAGGGAGGAGTCCTAACTGTTGCTGCAGGCGTGTTGTGTGAGAGTGCAGTTATATACTGGTTAATATATTTTGGGTTCAGTTGCTTTCATGTGGCCTAATGTGAGTCTATTTGGGATCATTGGAATGATCAGCAGCATTTCTTGATGTGACTTTATGGCAGTTGCCCAGGGCATCATCGCAAGGAGGATGGCATTCATTTACTTTTGTTTTATTTGGTATTTTTTCAGTCATTTTTGGAAATAGTGATCAATTTTGATAAATTCACAGCCTATGTTTAATTACATTTAAAATAAATGTCAACAGATGAGATCAAACAAAACAGATGAGAATTGCCCTTAAGCTGTTTAACTTGGACCAAGCATTTTAGGTCACAGATAGATGTAGCTTAGGGTCTCTGTCTATACACCTTATAAGACAATTTAGGTGATGGCATGTTGTTTTTCTGCTATTGAACTGTTTTCTAATAATGTTGTGTTAAATAAAGTGAAGGAAGGAGAGAAATAACGTTTCCCTAGCAGTTTTTAAAAATTTCCCCATGTAATCCGATTAATCGATTAATCGTGTCGAGACCCCATCCGATTAATCGATTATCCAAATAATCGTTTGTTGCAGCCCTAGATCCAGGTGTTTGGATTTGAGATGGTAAATTAAACCTCATGTGGCAAAAGTATTAGTAGAACCCCCCCCCCCCCCCCCCCCCCATCTTGAAATTTTAGCATTGCAATTTTTGCAAACTGCTATTCATTGGTTGTTCCGAGATGCCCAACATGTCCACACTGCAGACATGTTGGCTGTTCTCTAGTTTCTCACGTGCTCACCTGCCCGGTTCACGTGACCGTCTGCACAGCCGGCCCATACGTGAAGTCACGTGAACCCCGTCTTCGTTTCATCTCGTTCCAACCTCTTTGTTCAAAGTTCACTCTCGTGACTCACTTCCTGGTTGACATGACATTCTTTATCACACAATATTTCGGTTTAGTAAATTCTTTCTGCCGAAAAGTGGAAAACCATTTTTGGTCATTTTCTGGCCAAAAATTTCGTTGGCCAAATTTTCGATCCATCCTTATATATTATATCCAGGAATCAGGTGTGTTGAAGCAGGCAAATAACTAAAACATGCAGGATAGCAGCCCTCAAGGACCAGGGTTGCCCACCCCTGCTCTACCGGGAGACGGGATAGACACTGCTGTCCAAATAGCTTATAGTGTTTTATCAGGGCCTTTCATTTTCTTGTCGTTTGAATGATGTTTACGACTGTCTGATTATGTTAAAAGGTCATTTCTGAAACATGGATTGGGTGCACACAGCAAACAAAGTTAAAGGCTTATCGTCATAGCTCTCTGCACTGACAGTGATACAAAAAAGTGTGCTTTCACCATGTTGAATCATGTCGTTTGGGGGGGGGGGTCCTAGTGATGGGTTTCCATGTTAATGTTGAATCTATATTACTAAATCAAAGTTGTAAATGGCTATTGCACATGCTTAGTCTGCAGCTTGTAGAAGAAACTATAGATTTTTTTATTGACTTACCCAATGTTTTGTGTTCAGAACGTTTTGTTGAGAGTGGTAGACGTGCAGGAGTGGTGTTGCACAAGGAGAGGGTTTTAGCTTTTCTCTGCTGAAAGTCAGCAAAGCCCCAGGGCAGGACAGGATGAATTTGCTTTAAGGTGTAAGAGGAGAAGCTCTTTATGTTGTGAAACCTGAAGGATAACTGAAAGATTTGTCAAACCCTGTTTGTATGTGGCAATTTGTATTTTATGATCATCACTACAAGTTCTGGATCGCGTGTGCGGTCTCAAGGAGTTAGTCACGTAAACTTAGCAAAAAGTTGTGGTGCAGTTTGCTAGAAATAAACAAATGACACAAAGCCACAGGATGAGCACTTGGTTTTATTTATAAATCCTTCCATGGGTTTGACTTTATTAGAAATTGTTAATTCTTTATTGTCTGCTTTGAATATACTTTCATCTGGCTTTTGCAAGAGGCAATATTGATAAATTATCTAAGAAAATGGGTACCTTCTCACATCTGTGTGAAATAGCATGAGCTTTTGGGGAGAAATTAATCAGATTTAACTTTTGCGTTCTTGTCTAAATCAAGTCTGAAGTTTGTGAGCGTTCATGGTGAAAGCTTCAAATCAAAGGTTGACTGTTATACATAGATAACTCCAGTATTGTGTGTTTTCAGAGCAGTTGCCCTTCTGCTCATAATGACTCAGAGGGGTGACTCATATATGCTGAACCATTATTTTTAGAAATATGCCAAAAACCTGGAATCAAATGACAAATTTATTTTCTGTTGTAAATATTCTAGATCAGTGGTCCTCAATAGATGGTGGTCCTTTGTGCCCCCCGAACGCGGTCCCGCTCCTTGGAATGGAACCTGCACTCACAGGTTTTCTGTGGGGGGAAAAAGTTCTAAGTTCAACTTAAAATGTGAGGAGATGCATTGTTGACATTACTGTTAAAGTGCACTTCCAATAAAGAGAACACTGGCAACACTGGTTGTTGTTTTTATGTTGAGGCAGTGAGGAGTGTTATTGGCAGTTGCTGAAAGTACCTAATAAAGTAACTCATAATCTAAATGTTACTTTTAAAATAAAGTAACCAAGATAGTTTTGGAATGAGTAAAAAGTATTCACTAATCAGATTACAATTTTAAGGTAACTGTGGCAACACTGCTCTTAGTATTATGGAAATGGTCCCGGTCACAGTTCAGGAATACTAGAGTTTCACTGACGGCTAAACGTTTGCTACATAACTGGCTCATGTTGTAGGCACTAAATCTGTGAAGTTATTGGTCTACCACCAAACAACCACTTTTAAGATCACAAGACAAAGAAGTGGACCTCTGACAGAGTCCGTCCTGATTTTCAGCGCTACACATAGCAGCTCTTGTTGCTGGGAGCTCAGCCTTCTCTGACTCATGTTGCACAGCGATAAATTAGCTTCTAATCTCTTAGGAAAGATAGTGGACGTGAGCTCTATGTCCCAGTCAGCGTGTCCCATGCTTATTTGCACCCATGTTTCCTATTTACTTCCTGTTCCCAGCAGGAAAGGGAGGTGTCCTTGCAGTCATAAATAATTTCAACACAGACTGCAGCAGCTGTCTGATGATAAATGTTAGGCAGGACTGTATAGGGGAGAAGAAAGAGGTTGTGTCAGCTTAAAAGGTGAATTATTTTTTACTCATTCTAAAAGGAGCGCCGAACACTGATGTTGAGGTCGCTCGAAGAGGGATCTAAGGAGGGGATATCCAGCTCTAATCTGTTATGGGTGACAGACGAAGTGACGACAGGCCATGGCAAAGACACATGTCTCTGACACCCCGTGCCCCACATTCAGTTTTAGAGATGGAACCTAAGCTACTGAGATGCTTGATACCAAGCTCCCAACCCAATGTGCTTCTTTAATTTAAACAAACGTGCAGGTTTGAAACAAATACTTGAGTTTTATTAAAACATCACCTAATTCATCTGAGAAGTGTCTTAAGTTTGTAAGTAAACAGGGTGTTTCCTCTTTGTCTCACCCAGACGACTTGCTGGGAATGACCTGACATTCATCCACTCTGACGCCCTGTCTGGACTGCATCAACTCAAAGTCCTGTAAGCACACACTCTCCCTGCCAATGTCAGCTCACTCATGTACACACATAGTTGCTGCTGTGATATTGTGAAGTTTTGCATGCATTAGAGTAAATAGTGATGTTTGTGGTGTTTATTTTGAATATATACAACCTTGTTCATACTGTGTGGATAAAACATTAAAACACAACGAAACCTAAGCAGTACACTTTAGATGTCTTGCCTATGCAACTATATTAGACAAACTGTAGCAGTAGCAAAATGTTAGGTTGGTTTAACCACGCTCCAATGTAGCCTCAGCAGGTCGACCATTGGCCCAAACCATTTTAGGTCCAGCCATTCACAGTGATGTATGTTTACAGAAAGTTTTTGGGTGGGCTTAGCACCAGAGCAGAGATGAAGAAAAACTGCAAAGTTGGCATCTGCTCAGGAACAATGCTTTTTTGAAACAATTTTGTCATCAACTTTGGACAGTTAAGACTCTGGCATTTCTTTGAGACATGAGCAGATAGAGGTCATTCGTTTAGAAAAAAAGATGCATTTCCTTATTTTTCTTCTATGGTAAATGGCGGACAAACTTCCCCGTTGACTGATTTCTGTAGTAATGTATACTTCATGGTGTTTGTTGCACTGGTTGGTCCGAGTGCTATCCAATAGCAAGCAGAGACAGTTTGAAAGACAACTGTAGATTCCGCCCAATGACTGAGCTCCGTTTATGGATTGTGGCCAGTCTATACATTTACCTATATGGGATTGCTTGTCAGGCAAGTAGTTGCACAATCTTGCCCACACAGATAGGCACAGAAGACTTCAGCTCTTATTATCCAGTAGGTTTAAATATCATGATCCCTTTATCTGTATCGTAATTAGGTTGCTCTACAAGGGGGAAAAAACAAGATGTTTATTATTGTAAGAAGTTTGTCACCATTGCTAACATTTAATGCATCTCTGATTACATTGTTCAGATTAATCTTGTTGGAATGTTTTTATGTCTTGAAGTGAAATCTGATTATTTTTCTCATTTCCTCTACAGAATGCTCCAGAATAATCAGCTGAAATCTGTTCCCAGTGCAGCACTCAAAAACCTTCAGTCACTCCAGTCTCTGTAAGTCATACGCAAACACACATAAACTCACACTAATGATCTCACAAATATTTATTTATGAGGAACTTTCTTTAAAAAAGCCAAATGAACCTTCCTGTGCCACTTCACATCCATTAGCCAAACAGATGCTGCAGTGATCTTTGTTAACATCACCAAACAGGTCACGTACCTGTAAACACGCAACTATGTTTTCACTGGAAAGAACCTCAGCTTACAAGACATTAGGGGTGGGACTCCTACAACTCACAATTCGATCCCGATTCTTGGGCTGACCATTCGATTCAGAATTGACTCTCAATTAAGTCAATTCATCAACTGTGTGTGTGTGTGTGTGTGTGTGTGTGTGTGTGTGTGTGTGTGTGTGTGTGTGTGTGTGTGTGTGAGAGAGATGAGTCAGTGTATGTGAAACATCTTCAACTAATAAACAGTTTTTATAACATCCAGGAGCATGCAGTGAAATAAACCAGTAACATTTATCATTGAACAGGAAGACTAAGAAGAACTAATTACTCTTAGCAAGCATCATTTATGCACAGTGCGGTCGGCATGAAACAACACACAAACTAAACAGGAAAACAACATTTAAACGTTATAAAAAAACACATATGACCTTTTGACTCATAAAATGCACACAGCATAATTAAAAAGGCAGGTCTCTGTTGTATTTCTGCAGATTGCAGCATAGGAGCGCACAGAGCAGCTCAGCTAGTGCCGTCTCGAGCGATGGTGCACTCAGGGACACTCGGAAATACGGCAAAGGCTTTTGGACAGGATTGATTCAGAATCTTTATAAATATGAATCTTTTCTGAATTCCAACAGAAAAAACAAAGATTTTTTTTCTTCACATCCCCACTAACCAGAGCCGGCAGGAGAGAACAGACTGTCTGTGTTTTCTTTTTATAACCCACAATCCAAAGTGGCGTTTATATTCCTACACCAATAAACCCATCCTTGTCTGGAGCTAAGAGACAATAAAAATGGCAACACCAATAGTAATAAAACAAAACAGTCCATACATGCATGTAAACATTTGTAATGCTGGGTGCAAAAAAATTAGCCTACCAAATGCTAGCAAAAATGGCTCAGTAGTGTGATGAGCCAACAGTGTGAGGTTGTGAAGGTCAGGCTTGCTGAGGGTGTGCTGGCATCTCAGTACTTTAGCTTTGGTGGTCAAAAAAGTGTGTTAACTGTAGCAGCAGATGGATTTCTTGTTGCTAATTATGCTGGCTAGTTGGAAATTATTCCGGGTTCCTTGAAAAATGTTTACTTATATTCAGAATCCAAGACTTGTCTTCTGCTACAACTGTGTGGCTCGCTAGTGAAATGTAACAGCAACTGTTGCAGAAATGCTTTCATAATGTCTGGTTCAGGTTTCTGTTTCATTGTCACCATACACTAAAATAGCAAAGTGAAATTACAGGCAGTAGCGATGATAAATATTGTACCTCCCAAACCTCACAGTGACAGCAGCGACTGAAACAATGTTTTCAATTTTTCTCTTCACACAATATAACTGATGTAACTTTGCTAACAGCATGCACAAATGTACAGTCTTAGAAATGTGCACTTGTTACCCACACGGTGGTTTTTTGTTTTGTGCCGACTTTGTATCATTTATTGCTGCAACAGGGAACATCTCATAGAGCAGAAAATATATGCATGAAGTTTTATCTTCCTGTTACAAAGTAATATTTTAGAATCTAACAACCAAATATGGAGATTTTTTTTCCAGTTAAACCTTGGTAAAAAACTACAGAGGGGTCAGTTTTGCAGATCTTAATAAATAAAAGATTATAAAATCTGGTATGATGGCTTATCATGTTCTCTGTGGTTTAGTTGGCACCCGCTGAACTTTCCTTGGACTCAAAGTGAACTTTAAACAAGCAATAAGCAATCTTATGAATGTTGTCTAAGAATGTTGAGTGTTGTTTATCATGAAGCACTAAGATTTATAACAGAATGTAAACCCATCTCACCACTCTACTCTTTAAATGAGCAAAGTAACACATCGTACATCAAAGTAACAATATAACGTTTACAATTTACCCAATTAAATCTTAATAATTACATTTAAAATATTGAATACCAACATGGTATTTTCAACAACTTTAGTACCCATTTGGTCTAAGTACATTTCCTCATAGAGGCACAAAAAATGCTTTTCTAATCTATTTTATACTAATCTACACTAATCTATAAAGGCAATGGATAATTAATCTGAGTAACACATATGTAGAGTGACCACATCAAGCTCAAGCAACATACTATTGGTGTACATTTAAGACCCTTGCTCTGTATATTTGGACCATATCCTATATTTATATAACTTTTTTAATAGATGAATATTTTGGCATTGCTTGCGGTGAGTATCCAGGCTGTTCCACAGTTTCACGCCATGTAAGGACACACAAAACTTTCACGAGTGATTCTGACTGTTGGGATTATAAAATGTCTATATCCTCTGCAATTATGTGCTAATTCTCAAGGTGTAAAGAGTTGTAAAATTTCTGGTAGTGGTTTATGGAATGCTTTATATAGGAAAATGATTATATTATATTCGACAAGATCTCAAAATTTTAGCAACTTGAACTGGATGAACAAATTATGGGAATGATTTAAAAAAACAACTTTATGAATGATCCTTATTTCACGTTGCTTAATCAAGATTTAGTTCACTGTTCAAAGTATTCACAAGCTCAATATCAGAGAATCTGAGAGAATTTTATTGCCAGCGCTCCAGCAAACCAGAGCATAGGAACTTGACTCCACAGAACAGCCTGACCAAGATTACACACACACATATAGACAGGACAGATACAGGCAGACCACGAGAGCAGCCATAACGGCGCTCATTTCAATAGATGAAGAGGGGATTACATGAGGAGAGTTCGGGGAGGGAGAAAAAGGCATTAACAGAGCTACACCGGCAGGGTGTACAACATGAGACCCGGTAGGTAGGGGGTGGGGGGGTGGGGGGGTGGGCTGGGACCCTGTTTCCTCAGCGGGAGCAGCCTGTGTGGTGCTCGGCCAACTGAATCCACAGGTGGGTGGGAGGTCTTGGGAAAGCACAGAGCACAGTGAGTGCCTCCATCTTGATGACCTCGATGCGGAGACCACAATCTGAAGGCGGGGGGGGGGGGGGGGGGGGGGGGGGGTAGGTAGGGTTTTCACAGCATTTGTCTGCATTCCTTCCATTGTGGGGGTTTTTGCACGCAACTCCAAGGCTGCTTATGGCGTCAGATTGGATAACAGGACTTTGTTTGGGTCAGGCAGAGGTAATTTTCCTCTCTGCCTTAAAGTCTGTATTGATCATTCAAATCCTCCAGTGAAGCCAATTTGGTGATTAAACATTTCCACACCGTCTGGTGACCCTCTCCGAGATGACATCCATTTTGCGCACTAACACGGTAACGCAGCTAAGACATTGTCCAGCTTGCGATTCACCTCGAGTAACGTCTCAGTCTGTGAGGTCTCCGCCCGGACGGTGCCGTCCATGGTTGCGGGTCGCCCTCCAATCGCTCCCGTCATCCCAATTTTTCGGAAAACCAGATATCCTCCCACTCCAATCAGAAGAAATCCAGTGATCATCAGGCCAAATATCCACACATCTTCAACGTCCTCAATGGACAGCTGAGAGAGACAGATGACATTCCACTTCTTCCAGGAATCGAGCATATATCCCGCTGCGTGTGTCCTGTGAGGGCAAGCGCGAGCCCCCTCCTCCGTTCTCATCGTAGAAAAAATCTTATCAATCGCGTTGAATGACCAATTAATTAAATCCATTTATGAAAAATAGTGATTTCCAGAGGAAATGCACAGAAGCGCTCTGTAGGAGACGGGACAAAAAGAGCCTTGGGAAAAAGATAAGGGAGCAAAGCAGAAGCGACTGTGCTCTGTGAGTGCAGGAGATATAATTATCACTACAGGAAAATATGTTGGTGTCATCTGCAAAGAGAATAAATTTTAGCACTTTTGTTACATTAAATATATCTTTTATATAAATATTAAACAATGTTGGCCCCAGTACAGACCCTTGGGGAACCACACCAGTAACTTCAAGTTTATCAGATGTATGCTGCCCCATTTTCATACTGACTCCTTCCAGTTGATTAACTTTTTATCCAATCCCCTGCCACCCCACAGATTCCATATATTTCTATCTTGCTGAGTAAAACTGTTTGGTCAATTGTATTAACAGCTTTTTTCAGGTCAAGAAAGATCCGACAGCAAGTTTTAAATGATATATTGCATTTGTGATTTCTTCAGTTGCTTCGATTATTGCCATTGATGTACATCTTTTGGCTCTGAAACCATACTGGCCTTCGTTTATTATGTAATGCTTTTCAAGGAACTTTTCTAGTCGTCAATTGTAATGTTTTTCAAGGATGTTTGAGAACTGGGGTAACAAAGAAATCGGTCTATAATTTGTAAAACTGCACATCGTTATTTTTGTTAATTGGTACGATTTTGGCAGTTTTCATCTTTTGTGGAAAACTACCATATTGAAATGATAAATTACATATGTAAGTTAAGGGCTTCACGGTGTTAAACACAACCTTTTTCACCACATTGAACTGATATCATGACAATCGGTAGATGATTTACTTTTAGATTTAAGAATAATATTCGCCACTTCCTGCTCATTTGTAGCTGAGAGGAAAAGTGATGATGGGTTTTGTTCTATAGCTGAGTGAATTTTATCAATCCCATAGTCTGGGATTCCAGCAGCCAACTCAGGGCCGACGTTTACTAAAAATGTATTAAATTAATACAGTGTTCATATTATAAACTTCACCTTCTTCGTTGTTAAAGAAATCTGGATATAGAGGCTTTGATGATCTTGTTTGCTTAATTATATTATTCAATGTGTTACATCTTTCCATCATGTTGTTCCTATATTTATACATTTTTGTTTATAATATAGCTGTTTGCTGCTTCTTATGATGGAAGTACATTTGTTTTTATATGTTTTATATTTTTGTTCCACTTCTTTAGTTTT